GGATTCTAAGTTCAATTTCTGCATCTTATGTAAAATAACAAAAAATAAATAAAAATTGTATTTTTAACGATTTTTTTTTCCTGGTAATGAACACGTGCATACTTAGTCCCAAAGTAAGAGGTGAAAAAAATTAAGAACCGATAATAAACACTCTAGATCATCTATCAATTTGCCTCTAATTGATACGTGAAATAAACTTTTAAAATATCATTTTGGTAAACTCATTACTCATCTTACTCTATATGCCCAAAAAAAAAAAAAAAAAAAAGATTACCAATAAGTATTATATTTTCTCATAAATATCCATTAAATCCTATTATTTTTCTTTTATATCAATGAAGTCATATTTTTAATATTTTCTTTCAATTAAGTCCTAATTCAATTATATTCTAATTTTATCCTTATCCTTTAGTTACCAAAACTCTTTCATTCTTTTGCATTCTTATAATCAATTAATAGAATATTGTAGATTCTACATTAATATTAATTTAACTTAATTATTAACAAAACCATATTCTATTATTTTATATTGGATTTAAAATAATTAAGTTAGGGATTTATTTTAGTTATTGTATTTGAATTGGTAACGACATTAAAATGGAATTAATCGACAAATATTATCGATTTAATTTTTTTAACCTTTCTTATCTTATTAAATAATCGAAAAATGCTGTCCCTAGTTTTAAGATTAGATACCCTAATGAGATTAAAAAAAAATGTGAGATTTTTTTGGGTCTTACCATGAAGTTTATGTTATTTGAGTTTTTTTAATAGGCTTTTGATGTTAATTTTGCAAGTAAGGAATTTTTGTCCTCTTAATTGGTTTTAAGAATACAAAAGAATGAAATAATTTTGGTAAGTAAAGGGTAAGCATAAAATTAGAATATAATAGAATTTAGGATTTAATTGAAATAAATATCAATAGTTGGACTTCATTGATATAAAACAAAAATGATAGGATTTAATAGATTTTTGTGGAGAAAAATAATATTTATTAGTAATTTTTCCAAAAAAAGAAAAAGAAAAAAGAAAGTAGTATTCTCCATATATGCATACAAACATTATGGAATTTTAATTTTATTTGGTAACTACCAATTTTGAGTTAAGGCATACCAAAAAAAAAATAAAAAATCTCGAACTTTTTGCCAGCCAAGCATTTATTTTATTGCATTATTTCTTTCCTTACAAAAAGGTTTACCCAATCTTCAAAATTAACACGTGAAAAAAAAAGAAGCAAAATGGCTAACCAAATTGCATAACGGATGCAAAAACGCCGATTACTTCTACAAGTTTTATTTACCATAGTAACAGTCAATTATGTGAAGTATCAGATTAAACGTGAGATATTAGCAATCTTTCTCAAATACACATTGAATCGAATCGAATCAATATATTTCTTAGAAAACTTGAATTTTTTCTTACATTCACCACTTGAAGAAAATACTTGATAATAGCATAAGGATCATTGTAACGCAAATGCCTAATTTTAAATTTAAATTCTATCATCAAAAGATAATTTTGAGATGTTAGGTAGTGAAATTCTCATGAATATATGAGAAGAAAACTTAAAAAACTAAAAAATACTAATCAAAATTTGGGAAAAAAATAATAATCCACTTGGATTTCAACAATCTTACTTCGAAAATGCATTTTGAAAGAGAAAGGAGGGTTATGATGTTACCATCCATAGCTTACCATTGCCATGAAGTTATGCATAGAAATAGACTTTTGAAATAATACCATAGAATTATGGCCCTATTTGAGTGGGTGAGTAATCTTACTTGTGACGTGAAAACTTTCAATTCGAATCTCCTTTTTCTTACATTATTACCGTGTCTAGAAAATTTTTAATAATATGCTCTAATTTGGGGGGAAAAAAAGATTAATTATAATATGTTACCTTCAACTGTATTCTTTGTTACAATTAGTTCCCTTTAATTTAAAATATTATAATTTACCTCTTCAAAGTTTTAAGTAAATTAAATTGACTAACAGTAGTGATTGAACACCTGAAAAAATCATTACACATTTTGTCTTATACATTATTTCATTTTTTTTTTGAGATACCAATTTTATCCTTAAAAAAATAGGAAATGAAAAAGTTAAGATTAAAAAATAAGGAAATGTTTGCCTCCAACTTATCACAGGGGAAGGGAAGATCTCTGCTGGAAATGGATATGGAAATGGAAAGGGAAAGGGAAAGAGAAAGAGAAAGAGAACGAGAGTTAACCATTTAAAGAAGAAGATGATGAAAGGGGAGAAATATGAATATTTAGTACTATAAAGGCACGTTTGTTTGAGGGATTGAGTGGAATTATAGGATGAGATAGTAAAAAATAGTACATGAGATTCACCTATTACGTTATTTGATTGACATTTTATGTGCAGTACTATTTTTTGAGTTGCAATATCGACCCGATTTGTACAGTAACTTTTAATTTTTGTATATGGCTTTAATGAATACCACCTATCAGGTGGTATTATTTTCTTGTATAAATCTATTGACGGTACAAGTAAGAAAAATGACACAAATACTCTCCTTTGTAGAGTTTACATATAAAAATTTATTTTCTTGTATTATGTTTAAGTGTACGGTGTCACCGATTTTTTTTTCTAATTTTTTTTAAAAAAATTATTTTGATTTTTTTTCTTATATTATATTTAAACGTATGGTGTCACCTTTTTTTAAAAATTATTTTGAATTTTTTTTACGATGTTATCGATTTATAGTATCAGATTTTTATTTTTTATGTGAATTTTTTATATTATTCAAAATTTGTTGGGTATGAATTGTCATAGCATGTATTATACCAAATATTGTGCAAAACGTTACACAAACGTAATAATGGAAGGGATGATGTTTAGGGTAAAATTGTATATTTGTTATACAAGGTGTGATAGAATAGATGGTTGTTTATGAGACTCATCATAATACCTATTGAACAAACAAATAAACAAACATGAGAAGGGTTTGTAATATTTTTTTATAACCGTTACTAATTTTTAAAGAATACATTTCTTAATACCATGCATAACAATACTAAAAACAAATATGCCCTTATATTTTTCAAAAAAGTAGGAATAGGTGAATTTGATAAGTCTAACTTTGGTCAAATTTTATTATCCAAAAATAATGATTGAAGTTAATTGCAAAATATTCAAATTTAAAGGAGATTATTTATTAAAATTAAAACATGAAGGAATGAGTTACAAATTATTTAAAGTTGAAGGGGGCATTTTATAATTAACCCAAATGCCACGTCATCAATATCACTTGAACACCATCTCCCCACACCACAGCCACCGATGAGATCAAATGGACCAGGAACGTGAGAGACCATCTCAGTAAATCTATATAATATGTTATACTTTTGCCCCCTATTTCTTTTGAAAACCTCAATATGGACACCACGTTTAAAGTTGTCTAGAAATTTTATTTTCATTCGCATCCTAACATTTTCAATATTCTCATTCCAATTTGCCTCCCCAAAGTTCACTGTTGATTCCTTCTAATTTTCAAATCAGAGGTGATAATTGAAACAATGTGAAAATCGAAACCTCCTTTCAAATTGAGGGTGCTATATTGAATAACTACTAAGTCTGAGGGGTAAATTGATATTTTAAAAAATATTTGGGCCTAGCTGAAGTTAACCTTATAATACTATCAAGACTTGGAAGAAGTTAGAACTTAGAAGGTGTGGCATTTTATTTTATTTTATTTTTTGTTTTTGGTGTGGCATTTTGAGAATATATGAAAAAGAACTATAANTAATTTTTTTTAAAAAAATTATTTTGATTTTTTTTCTTATATTATATTTAAACGTATGGTGTCACCTTTTTTTAAAAATTATTTTGAATTTTTTTTACGATGTTATCGATTTATAGTATCAGATTTTTATTTTTTATGTGAATTTTTTATATTATTCAAAATTTGTTGGGTATGAATTGTCATAGCATGTATTATACCAAATATTGTGCAAAACGTTACACAAACGTAATAATGGAAGGGATGATGTTTAGGGTAAAATTGTATATTTGTTATACAAGGTGTGATAGAATAGATGGTTGTTTATGAGACTCATCATAATACCTATTGAACAAACAAATAAACAAACATGAGAAGGGTTTGTAATATTTTTTTATAACCGTTACTAATTTTTAAAGAATACATTTCTTAATACCATGCATAACAATACTAAAAACAAATATGCCCTTATATTTTTCAAAAAAGTAGGAATAGGTGAATTTGATAAGTCTAACTTTGGTCAAATTTTATTATCCAAAAATAATGATTGAAGTTAATTGCAAAATATTCAAATTTAAAGGAGATTATTTATTAAAATTAAAACATGAAGGAATGAGTTACAAATTATTTAAAGTTGAAGGGGGCATTTTATAATTAACCCAAATGCCACGTCATCAATATCACTTGAACACCATCTCCCCACACCACAGCCACCGATGAGATCAAATGGACCAGGAACGTGAGAGACCATCTCAGTAAATCTATATAATATGTTATACTTTTGCCCCCTATTTCTTTTGAAAACCTCAATATGGACACCACGTTTAAAGTTGTCTAGAAATTTTATTTTCATTCGCATCCTAACATTTTCAATATTCTCATTCCAATTTGCCTCCCCAAAGTTCACTGTTGATTCCTTCTAATTTTCAAATCAGAGGTGATAATTGAAACAATGTGAAAATCGAAACCTCCTTTCAAATTGAGGGTGCTATATTGAATAACTACTAAGTCTGAGGGGTAAATTGATATTTTAAAAAATATTTGGGCCTAGCTGAAGTTAACCTTATAATACTATCAAGACTTGGAAGAAGTTAGAACTTAGAAGGTGTGGCATTTTATTTTATTTTATTTTTTGTTTTTGGTGTGGCATTTTGAGAATATATGAAAAAGAACTATAATGATTTCCCAACTAACGAGTATTAAAAGTAGTATTTATATAGCCCCCCCCTCCCTCCCTCCCTTCACTTCTCTCTGCTCGTTTTGCTTCTCCGGTTTCACCCAGAGTGCTACAGCCATTTTTCCTTATCTCACCACCGCAACGAATCTAGGGCCTCATTGTCATTCCAAACCTCGATTTATCGATCTGTTTCTATCAGATCTGGTTTTGGAACGTTCAAATTGTGTTTGTGTTCGTCGATATAGACAGTGCACAGTTTAAAATGTTTGTTTGATTTCATTGTTTTCAATTACAGTTTTTCCGACGAAAATGATGATTTACGGGCCATTAACACCTGGTCAGGTAAGAGATTTCCATGATAACAGTTGCCTTTATTGTTTAGAGCTTCGTATTCCATACTTCCATCAGATTTTGTACTGATTTGAGTGTTCTGAGTAGTTGTTAAGTACTGATTCTTCAATTCGATGAATATCTCTTCTTGTAGTCGTGAATCAATAAATTTTGATTGCGGAATTGTATTTGCATTGTAAACATAGATGATTAAACTGATGAACTAATATTTCTTTGTGTTATTTTGTCACTATCATCCCTCAGTTTTAGTGGAAACTGAATATGCAAAAACATAGTTACATCGCTGTTTGTGGTTTAGGGGCATTGGGGCTATTAGAGAATATAGTGCCATATTATTTTATGACTTATTTTTTTCTTGAGTTGAGAATTCTTATTTGTAAATTATATGCTATACTCGAGTTTCGAATAGTTGCAAGGTTGTTTAAGATCGGTTTCTATGTCTTATCCAAGTAAATGTAAAGCTTATAACAATAAAACGGCACTGCTATGGTAATGGTGGTAGAGCTTATCCTTTATGCGTGATGAATAGCAAGCATTGAGGTGGCTGACAAATTACCACTCCATTCAAAGGAGTCGGGACTTCCAAAGAAAATTTTCAAACTTGGATCCCTGTAGAGTACACATGAAAACAGGGATCCGTGTACCTCAAAAACAGTTGGGTTAATGCCTGGAGTGTTAACATTACGTAGGAGGAATATTTGTCTGCCAATGGATGTAATAAGTTCTCCTACACGTGCACGTGTATTGTGTAGCTCACAAGCAGTTGGGTTAAGGCCTGGAGAGTTAACATTTACGTAGAAGTAGTCTGTCTATAAGTGCAATAAGTTCTCCTGTCAATGGGCAAGAAATTTTCACCATCAAGCGTAAGTTATGTTATTTGATCCTCTTCTCAAAAAAGGAAACAAAATAAAATCAAAGGCTAAAAATGTATTTTGCTTTATTGTTTGGGTGCTCTAATAATTTTTTTTTTCTTATTCTGATTATCCTTTTTTAGGACAAGTATTTGCACATTTATGCTTGCCTAGAATCTTTGATGACCTTGTATTAGCGATGTAACTAGCAAAGTTGACTGTAAATCTTCTTAAAACATATCCTTAGTCATCCAACCACCTGTCACTTGTTTCTTCTAAAGTTTTCTGGACAGTTTATTGCAGGTAATGCATCATGAGGTTGCTCCTTTTTTGTTTTTTCTCTCCCTCTCTATATGTACACATTCGTGCAAACAAACAATTATTTTTTCAGTTGTATAGACCTCGTTCTTTGTATAATTTCATCATATTATAATTTGCGCTTAACATAAATTGCATAATACACAATTTCAGGTGTCGTTTTTCTTTGGACTTATCCCCGTGTTTGCAGCTTGGTTATATTCGGAGTTGTTGGAGTACAAGAAAATTTTGGTGACAGCCAAACTGTAAGTTGGATAATTCCTGTCTTTTACCTTATACCTCCCTAAAACATTGGTGTTTTTGTGGTTAAGACACCCGGCGGTGATATGAACTTTGCTATATTATCTTGATATCATCTTAGAAATAGCTTACAGCGAATTATGCATTATTCATTATTCTTTCCAATTTAAATTGTGATCCTCTGAAAGGTTCAGCACATTGGGTTTTTTTTGTTCCTTTTGACCTTTCTTATTCAGGAAAAACATAGTACAACTGAAATTTGTTACAAAAGTAGTTTGATTTTGTTGGCCTATTTCCTTCAGAACTATGTTGCAAAATACATGCTGTTGTGACTTGTGATTATTTTTAGCTGAGGCTGTGAAGTGTTTTGAAATCTTGCTAAACTTCCTTTGAGATCTGAAAACAGAACATTAAAATTTGGAAATATTTTGCATAAAGAGAACAGTACAAAGGGTACGTGAATTAATGAATATGTAGAAACAGAAAAATGCGACAGTGAAAGTCATATGAACTTCAATGTATTGCTTAACTCCAGTGCAAATAGGGAGTCAAGCTGAGCACATAGGAGAGGAAAGTAATTTTGGAGGACGAGGAACATAAGTTATGTAATCTAAATTGCTACTTGTCCTCTTTGCTCTTTCTTAGACAGATTTTGTACTTCAGAACAAATATACAATCTGTCTGTTAGGGATTTGTATATGTTATATAATTCCCTTTTCTAAATTCAGACAGCGTTTCTCACTCTGAAATTGTACATTTTAGTGGCAGGCATTCTGATGTCAATTTGGTAGAGTTGGGAAACCAGGCAGTCAAAGAAGATGATCGAGCTGTTTTATTGGAGGGGGGTGGTCTCCAATCAGCATCTCCAAGAGTTCGTAGTTCATCTGCAACATATCACCTCTTCAGGTTTGTCAAAGGCAGCTGCCAACTTTATTTACATTTTTGTAGAAAATGTCATGTAGCTAGTTGATGAAACGATAGATTCTGTATCTTTTCAGGTTCTTTCTGTTGGATGAGTCTTTCTTGCTTGAAAATCGTTTGACTTTGAGAGCTATGTAAGTACTTTTGTCTTCAAGATTTTTAAGCACTAAATTCTTGAATTGAAGGACACTGGAGAAGAATGCTGATTATTTTCTCCTTCTGTTATTTTCCCCGTATTCCCTTCTCCAGATCAGAATTTGGTGCCTTTTTGATATACTTTTACTTTTGCGATCGTACGAATATCTTCGGTGAATCAAAAAAGGTGCGTCCAACAACCTTACCTTGTCATTCAAATGGGCATAAACATTGTCTTTGGTGGAAGTATGTGAGAGCATTATGAATTCTAAGTGGGAAAAATTCTATTTACAACATTAAAATGGGAAGCTGTGATATGTCACATATGTCGCCAGATTTGACTTTATGTTAACCATTTCCAGAATATTATGTGGACCTGAGGCCCTTATCTGGTGGTGCGGCATGTAGACATTGTTCACTATATTGGTTGTAGGGGGAAAAATAAAAAGTAAAGAAATATCTATTGACACTTGCACAAGTATGGTTTTGTTTTGGCAACTACTTTTTATGCTTCAACAGTAAGACATGAATGTATATTTTGGTGTTAAGAAATGCAATCAAATTGTTTAATACAGCTGCTACAACCATGCGGTTGTCCCTTTATTTTGACCTCTCTGTAATCTTGTGAATATGCCAGCTTTTAACCAAGTATGTGATAAACCAAAGTATACTATATGTCTGACAAAATGGATTCACTGTTCATGAGCTTGTGTTTCTTATTTAACCTCTAATTTTATTGCTGCTCGCTATGACTTAGCTATTGCCTGTATAGATATACTGGTTGCAGTTGAATAATTAACCATATTATATTATGTTGTTCCAATAGGGTGATACTGGGGTTTAAGATAGCAGTAAGAATAATGGTTTAATAAGAAGGTATAAATACAAACCAACTAGGTAAATTAGGCATGCAAGGCAAGCAAAGGACAAACAAGACGTACAACTCAAACTCTAACTGAATAAGCATCAAATAGCATGGACTAAGAGAATGTCACAACAAACGAAAATAGCAAAACAAATAAAAGAAAGGAAAAGTCAACAAAAAATAGAGTACTTTAAGTACATACTATGAATGAATAAAAAAACTCACAAACTTTCACACCGCCTTCATGGTCAGGTACAATATTGCGCATTTTGTGATACAATTGTTGAGTATAGGATGTGAGTAAAGAATTTGTTCAGAAAGAAGCACCAAGAGTTTCTTCACTCTGAAACATTTGGATATATAGTTTTGGGTTCATTATGAAGTTTCTTTGATTTGTAGTTTTTGTACTACATCGCTGCTCTTGATAAATTTAATTGGTTTTTAAAAACAAAAGGTAATCTAGTTTGCTCTTCATAATAACAGATTGACTTTTAATCTAAAAAAATTGCATGATTATTGCTGGTAAGGAACTTAATATACAGCCTCTAAGCATGATAACTTTTTTATTAGTTTGTTTGGTGATAATGTTCTGACCTCTAATTAGCTTTGACACCTGGCATTACTTGTGGCTGCAGAGTTTCAATCGGGATCTGTTTCTGTTCCTCTACTTCATTCTCATCATAGTTTCGGCAATTACATCTTTCAAGATACATCATGATAAGTCACCATTTTCAGGAAAACCCATACTTTATTTGAACAGGCATCAAACTGAGGAGTGGAGAGGTTGGATGCAGGTTAGTGGGTTCTTAAAATGATGCATTTCTGTGTCAAAATTTGTTGGTGCTTCTTCCTGAGGCAAAAATATGAGATTTTTTGATCTATGCATTTATTTCCAGTGTTCACTTATGATTATCAGGCTTCTTGGTTTTGATCAAATCTACCATCCAGCTTCTTTGGTTTTCCCCACCTGGGTCTTTTCCCACTTATTGTTTGTATTTGCAATCAAAAGATGGCAAAAGCTTTGGCTACTGACAAAAGTTAGTTCTAGAGGATAAGAAAAATTAATTTTTCCGCAGGATCAGGGGAAATGGCCCCAAAGAGAAAAAAAGGAGGGTTGGGTGGGGATGGGGTGGGGGACTAGTTCCCACAATTGCAGTAATAATCTGACTCTGTAATCCAGATAAGAACAGCTGTGAAGTATTCAGTTGTCCTGCTTTTGAAGTCAAACCTGAGGTGGAACCAATGATCTTTACATTTGTAGGACCTCCAGTCTTTATCATTTTAACTTTGGAATAGAGTAAATCCATCATTTCAGATGAGCAGACGAAAATTCTAGAAACAATTTAAGCATGCCTGAAAAACAAATTTTTTTCTTAATCATTGTTTAAACATTCTTATATGAAATTATCTATAGAATAACCTGGTCATGCTGGTCGTAAATATAGTTTTCATTGCCCACACTTAATGGTGTCTCGCTATCTTTTCTATTTGCTTACAGGTATTATTTCTTATGTACCATTACTTCGCTGCAACAGAAATTTATAATGCCATACGAGTTTTTATTGCTGCATATGTGTGGATGACTGGATTCGGGAACTTCTCATATTATTATGTTCGCAAAGATTTTAGCCTTGGAAGGTTTGCTCAGGTACATATTCCTCGAGACGTTTAAAATACCATTCTGAGTTTCCCTAATGATAATATAGTTCTGACGGTATAATTTTTGTTGGTCAGATGATTTGGCGGCTTAACTTTTTGGTGTTATTTTGCTGCATTGTACTCGACAACAGTTACATGCTATACTACATATGCCCCATGCACACTCTTTTCACTCTCATGGTTTATGGGGCGCTTGGTATTTTTAACAAGTACAACGAGAATGCGACTGTCATTGCTGTAAAATTCATAGCCTGCTTTTTAGTGGTTATTCTGATATGGGAAGTGCCTGGAGTGTTCGATCTTATTTGGAGCCCATTTACATTCCTTCTCGGTTAGTACTTTGCAGATCTAGTTTCATTTTGATTGCCACTAAATTTGCATATGTAACTAATAGATCCCAATACAATTCAGGATACACTGACCCAGATCCTTCAAAGTCTAAATATCCCCTCTTGCATGAGTGGCATTTCCGCTCAGGCCTTGATCGCTACATATGGATAATTGGAATGATTTATGCATACTATCATCCAACAGTAAGTTTATGTGAAAATTATGTTATTTTGTAAGATTCCTAGTATGATTTTTTTGTTAAATATTTGAGATTTAAGGTTGTGCCTTTCTTCTGTTTTTCTATTTCTTTTTAATTTGATGTTTGTTTTGAAAAATTCAAATCATTTGCTAAATTGCTTGAATTTGTTATTGTAGGTTGAGAGGTGGATGGAGAAACTGGAGGAAACTGAAGTAAAACGTAGGATTTCAATTAAAGCGGCTGTCATGATCATTAGTACAGTGGTATTGTATCTTTCGTCCTGCACAATCCTTTTCTATTAATTTCTCTGTCTGATGCCAAATACTCTACAATTTTTAGGTGGGATATTTGTGGTTTGAGTATATATACAAGCTTCCAAAGGTTACATACAACAAGTACCATCCTTATACCTCATGGATTCCAATAACGTATGTATTTCTTTCCCCAAATGCTATGACATTTTTAATATAAAAAAGTTCTTGTTAGTGGTCTGGCATTTGTTACTTATAAAAGTTTTTGCTAATGTTTCATGTACTACTTCGTTTTCTGTTGGTATCAGTGTCTATGTATGCTTGCGAAACGCCACCCAGCACTTTCGTAGCTACTCCTTAACACTTTTGGCGTAAGTGATCTTGAATTTGATTAATTAATTTATTTTCTGGGTTTTTCCTGCCCTTTTAATTGAATTGATTGGGGAAGTGTTGCCTGTGAATTTGAATTTATTTTTCTGGGAACGCTTATTATGCTATTTCTTTTTGATTCAATAGATGGCTTGGAAAGATCACTCTGGAGACCTACATCTCACAGATCCACATATGGTTAAGGTATATTGACTGACCTACAACTGAGGATTTTTTTTTTCAGGTTGACAATCATAGGATAAGTTGGCGCTCCAGTAAATGTTGAGAACCTAGTCAATGAAAGGGCATCAGTTAAGAACAGATATTAGGCTTCCCCCCCGGCCCCCGCCCCCCGCCCCCCTTGCCT